ACTATGATTTCATTCCTTTTTTCGATTTTCAATATTAAAAAAAATTATTTTCAATTGTCAGCCCTGACACTTTTCACCTTGCTCCGCGGTCCCTGAAAGGCTTTTTAAAGTTCTATAAGCTTATAATCAAACCTGATACTTGGTCAGATCAGTCTCAAATCTTACAAACGTGCATAAACTAAAAAGCCGCATAAACTATGCCCGACTTCATTAAATTAAATATAAAAAACAAACATCAAATACAATAATTACTCAGGCTTACCATTCGAGATCCACTGAAAACTATCAAGTGAGGCCAGAATCGCTTCAGACTTTTCAACCGTCTTACGCATCAAGCAAGGTGAAAAACGAAAACGATGCCATCCGAAATCAGATTTCCGACTTTGCCAAAGCGACGTATTTCTCAACCAAAAACCCAATAAACAAACTAGCCATGAATAACAGAAGACTCTTGATAGCAGCTGAATCTCACTTTGTACATTCAGTGGAAAAAGACAGTTAAAAACATCACAAGTTGACACAAAACTCTGTCAGCTTCAGCTGTCAAAGTAAACAAGATTTAAGATGCTGCATAAATTTTCGGCATGAACTCACTTGTCAAATTTTGACCAATCATAGCTTAAAAATTTGACGTAGAGTGTGACCAACGCGTAACCATGGTGAGAAAAGTCAAAAGCAACTGACATGTCCTCCCTGCCTGTAAAAACTGGCTGAATTTTAGCTTCCGAGGTCAGTTTGAAATCAAAATTTTAATTGTGCAGCACATATAAAACACAACATATTTCATATGAATTTAAAAAAATTAAACTTGAGCCTGCAAGCATTTGAAAACTAGTAACTTGTCAGCGGATAACTTCAAAAAGATACTCGACCTCAATGGGTCAACACCTGGGCCCGCGATACGGTCAGGTGATACTGGTCAGCGGATACCTTGTTTTGACAGCTGTCAATTGATCACAACATTGATGTGCAATATGTATGCAATGTCAGTCTTCCTGTGCTCCCAAACTAACTAGAAAGTGTGAGATTGAACATTGGTTACCCTGTGGTTCGGACGGACGGGCGAGCGGTGTACGATCACGTGATTACCAAATTTTCTGGGATGGGTAGATTTACTTACCCATGGTGCTCTGCAGGCGCTCTTCGCGCCCCAGAGCTTCGCTAACAAATGTCTTTTTATGCTGAGATCGGTAAGAAAGGAGGGTTATACTCAGGCAGAATTAGACTATCTTTTTCAATGTCTCGTTATCCCTAATTTGACCTATGGTCTATCGGTCTACGGTGCTGTTAATGCAGACCTTACGACTGTACAGTGTTTCCTGGACCGGAGTTACAAGCGGAGATACATATCTAAGGCGGTTAACATCTATGATCTATTAGGAAAACAAGATAGAAAAATCTTCTACAAGGTAAAACATCAAGAGAAACATCCTCTGAGAACCTTATGTCTTAACTGAAGATCACAGAGTACAATCTAAGACACAAATCAGGGCACCGGCCGAAATTAAACACGAATCGAGTGAAGAACTCCTATTTTAATCGCCTAATCTTTAAATATGACCTAGCTTTGTAACTGGTATTTTGTAAATGGTTTAAAAAACTTTTAGAGTTTTTTTTATTATTATTTAAATATAACTTGGTTCTGTAATAGTTATTACAATGTAACTTCAAAGTTACATTACATTACTTACAATGTAAGTTCAAAGTTGGAAGTTTTTATCCTACGTAGTTTTTATCCTTTGAGTTAATAAAGACTATTATTATTATTATTATTGAAACTTAATTTGCTTTGCGACTTTTAAGGAACAGAAAATTATTGTTATTTACAGTGTTTAAAACACCAAAATTGACCATGTCACATTTTATGTTTAATAAACGAGCGGGAGGGTTTTATCGGGGTATAACGCCACGAGGCGAAGCCGAGTGGCTTTATAACCCGATAACAATGAGGCTTTAATTTGTGAACGTTGGAAATTAACCTACTAAAAAAACATTACGTATGAAATTATTATGTAAGAAAATCAAATCTCACACGTGTTTAGAAATTTTCAAGTTTACGAACGACACTAACTGAAGAGGACATAGCATCTTGTTCCAGAGCTTTTCGGAAGCCTAAAAATGCCGAGGAAGAGAGGATGTTAATTGAAAAATGGTACCCCAAAGTCAACTATTCCACTGACAAAGTTTTCGTAAAAAAAAAAATTTTTGGAATGGCCGAATTATAGGTAAACAAAAACCCAGTACTCGAGCCTTGCGTTTTCACAACTGGCAAGTCTTGAGTGTCACGCTTGGACACTGCTATAGCCAATATTACCGCTGTGTCACTAAACTTTTGGCTGATTAAATTGGTGAAAGAACAAAGTTTAATTTTTTGCAATAGTACATTTACTGCGTGCGTTATTTTGAAAGAACATTGAATATTCACCCACCATTTGTTGTGTCAGTTGCTGTGCTGATAATTAATATTCATTGGTCACGTGCAATGAAATAAAATGTCATCCTTATTAGTATTTTTTATGTAAAACACTTATGAGGATGAAATTTTTAAAGTTTGACAGTGTTTTACCGGGGTTTAATACATGAGCACGTGACAGATTTTAGCGGACGTGATAGGCTGTTGAGCTCATGAATTATTAAGGCAAAAGCATAGAACGACAACAATTTTGGAATTTCCGGTTAGCTAGATCAAATTAGTCACGTTGTACTGTCATGCTGTATTTGGGGAGGAGGGAGCAGAGGGATTGGGGGAGGGGTAGGTTGTGGAAATGTCCCAGTTAAAAATAATGCCAATCGTTCCGTGTTTCAAAAGGCTAAATGTATAAATATCTCTATTCCTTTCCACGGTTAGGAGTAGCTATACATTCAATCCGGAAAAAAGAGTAATAATAAGGCAAAATATTAAATCAATGCATTGCACAGTCGGCAGCCCAATGAGCCTTCACTATGGGGGTCTTGTTTCTCAGTAAAAACAGACTTTGTCCACATGAACATCGTCCTTTCCTTCATGTCTTTTGAAGCTTGAATGAAAACGAGAAATGAAGAATTATTGATTTGGTCCTCTAGTTTCTCTTGAACACCCTCAGTTATGGAAGGAGTCTGCTGAAGGCTTGGACTACTGTTTTGAAATAATGACAATAACCATTTTGAAGTTATGAATATATGAAAATCATAATCATTTTAACGTGTGATTATCTTTAGCCACGGATATCACTTAGCGAGAGCCTTGCTTAATTTCGTAGTAGTGGAACACATGCGTGATCATATCAATAATAACTGAAGTTCACCTCATTCTCGGTGCCCATCAGATACATTGACAGTTTTACCATCTACATCTCGTACTCATTGCTGATCATAAGTATTATGCACCGCCTCAAGTCTTACAGTTAGTCAGAAAAAAAGCAGGGACGTTTGAATTTTTCTTGAGATTTAATTTGCTTAGGGAGACGATGTTCTTGTGCAAAAATGGTGGATACCTATGTTCAATCGGTTCGAGATTGATTTCGTCACAATAGGCCAAACCAATTATTAACTCTGTCATGTCATGAAGATCTTAGTGTTTCAGAGCGTAGCGATCCGCCTTAGACACGCGTGTTCACGTATTGCGTTCGTTTAACCATCCCTGCAGAAAACGGGGGATTACTTGATAAAAGCGTGACTGCCTGAGGAAAATTATTCTAACAACTCTTCTTTAGGACAACCACCCAGTAAAAACAAGTATCGTCGACGTGTGTTACGCTGTATGCGATAGCTTAGGGAACTGAAAATATATTTCTAATATAGCTTCGTGGCTACTACATCTATCAGCTGATCTATGCTTAGTGTTCTCTTTGATTAGGACAAATAGAAAATGTAACCATAATCATTTCACGGAACGTTATTTTTATCCCAAAGAAACCAAAAATCGTGAGAACGTCTAATTTTTGTTACCTAACTTAATACTTCTGTAGTTCCATGTCTAGGTTTTGTCCAAAATCTCAAAAGTTCAACCCATTTATACAATTATTACATTTCACGAGATTCTTCATGCAAAAGATAACCCCCCCCCCCGCGTTATCGAGTGTGACCTCGGTTGCCAGGGGCGGATCCAGGAATTTTTATGCGGGGGGGGGGGGGTGCTCCAAACTTTGGTTAAGAAAGTACTGTTGAACTTTTTTTGTGGTAAATTACTTCTCACAGAGGCGACCACGTGTTTTTCAATCTGTGAACGCCGGTCGTCGTTGGCGCGGGAAATAATGTTTTGCAAGCAGAGGCAAAGAGATCATAGGAGGGTACACAAAAACAATTACATTTTTGAATATCCCTGACATTTAGTTTCGTGGCAAAATGTAACGCGCGTTTCCTTAAAAAAATCAGCCAGTTAAGAAGTGATATACAATCCTGTCGGTGGAGGGATTTCAGTCTCAAAAGAGCGTCAGGTCTGATAAGGGGGTCCGGACTCCCGGACCCTCCACCTGGATCCGCCACTGGTTGCTGGCTCCTTGCCAGTTGTGCCGCTGTTTTTCATTTCTCAGGATGACCAGTCATTGGACCTTTGAAGTCCTCCATATTTTGTGGTAGGAATCATCAGCTATTTCTCAATTGACTTAGAACGCAATACTGTTAATATAGGGAGAGAAACCATTGCAACAACCGTCATAAGGTTTCCAAGAGAGGATAAAGCGATTGCCCGTTTTATCCTCTCCCAAGATAACTCTTGTTTGGTAGAAAATTCTATCCATGATTTGTTTTGATTTCTGATGTATTCTACCATCTTCCAAACATATGTTCATAGAACTTTGTGCTGTTTGATCGCCTGCTTCCTTTTCGTCTCTTACTGAACCTGTTTTTCAGTGTTTCATCATTGTTCTTAACAAATGCATCCCGGAGTTGCTTTTTATTGTATTCTGCTCAGGTCCTTCAGTTTTAATGTATTGCTTTTCTCTCTTTAGTTAGGTTCTACACAGTCCTGGAGAAGGCGAAGACGTTAGAGGACTAAGCAACCCGCCCACTTTGCCGTACCTTCATTTCTCTTGTTTTGTTGCCAAGTCAACGCACTCTTTGCATGTTCCGTGCACCTCTGTAACACTTTGTCCACTGCGCATGAGTGAAATGGTGAAAACCACTTGGCGATGGTCACATACTCTCCATGTTTCCCGATTAAAACCTGGAAAGTTCTCAAAGTCTTTGGGTTCTTCCGGGGATGAGGGCCTTGTTAATCTTACCTCTTTCCTTACTAAACCTGCGGTTCTCTCCAGCCAGTCAATGTCAAGGGCGTCGCTGTTTCCATGAACAAACATTTCAAATTCTTCTTGAGCCTTTTCCAAACGTATTTTTCCAGTACTAGAGAAATTTATTTGGTGCCTGATGGCCTTGGACTTGGCTTCTAGAATTGAACCGAAAAGTGCAAACTTCCTTGTGTGCTCATACACTTGGTTAACGGTTCTCAACTCCAACTCAGGGGTCATCAAGAACTCTGAAATCTTTTCCAGCGCATCTTTAATGGTGTCAAATTGTTGTTTTACTTCCAGTATTAACTTTTCTGACTTTGCTGTTCGTTTCATCAGATCTTGCAATGTTTGTTGCTCCATTTTAATCTGTTGCATAACAATTAAATGATTTTTAAGAGTGTACAGTAAAGAAATATTGAGTATCCTTCGCGCATTAGGACTGAATGGCCACCAATTGAAGTTTTGAACCCCCTCTAGAAAGGGTTTTGGGAACCTTATCTTGTGTACGTCAAATTGAAATCGATCGAGCTTTTCCACAAGGCCTTTGACCGCCCAGGCAGTTTCATTTCCAAGCTTGAAAGTTTGTTTTTTAACATTCTCAATATATTTTATTGTCCTCTTAATGATGTTTCCATAACGATAACTAAAGGTGATCGGCGTGGAGCATCTGGGACAATGAATGAGTTGAACATCACTTCCCCAGTCACGAAACATCCACGCATCCATCTCTTCCACCTTCACGATGTGACCACAATCAAAAAGCTGCAGAAATCTAATGGATTCTGTTTTGTCAGTTTCACGACTAATCATTGACGCAAACGTTTTGGCATGACAGGTAGCACACACAGTGGGACAGTTTTCTCCACACAGACCAATGCAAGGGTGGCGACAAGGGAGCTTCTTAGGGCAGGGCTTGTCACATCGAGGACGATCGCACTCTTCTCCGCATGTATTTTTACATTCGTGGTGAGGACAAGTCCAGGTACATGGTCTCCCACATGGCCCGCATGGCTCTAAACATCTTTTGCTGCATCTTTCGTGCGGGCAGTGTCGACCGCATTTTCTCGAGCATGGTGGGCAAGGCTCACCGCACGCTGCTCGACAGCGGTGTGAACAAACAAGAAGACGGTTGCATGGGTTTTGGCAAAATGGATGTGAACCCTTTTGCTTGCAGTCGCCGCATTGTCCGGAGCACGGGTGACCGCAAAGCAGCTTTTCTTTACACGGAACAGGGCATTTTACATCATCAACAGATAGGCTACAAGGCATCTTGACCTTATGACCACACGAGAGGGGTTTACTTACGACTACATCGCAACGATATTTCGAGCAGGGCTCACCACAGACACCTTGACACTTGTGCTTACATTTCAGTCGACGCTGACAAGGTGCCTTACAGGTTGCGTTTTTGCTTTGAAAGCATGTTAGGTACTCCTTGTGACCACAGGGATGTCTTTTCTCAATTTGACGCCAGCACTTCACACTTTCACACGGTTGACTACAAAGTCCCGGACATGGGTGACCACAGTTCAGATTCCGTTTGCAGCGCTCTTGACATGCGACTTTAGATGGGTCGTCCTTGCAAAGCATTTTGTGGGAGTGTTTTCCTGCACAATTGAGAGTCTTCGTCACTTTCTTTTGGCATTTATCCTCGTACTGGCTGCATTCTTCAAAGCATTTTCCAGGGCACTTATGGCCACATGTCAATATTCGGGCACATGAATTTGAACAAATAAGCTGAGACACATCTTTAGAACAAGGACAGCTAACGTTATGGAATCCACAACTCAAGTTCTTTGTAACTTCCACATCACATTTCACACTAGAGCACTGCTCACCACATTTATTAAGGCAGGGATGTTCACATGGAAGTGAACGTTCACAGGGAACATTACACGATACGTCTTCAGGTTTATCTGAGCATTTCATCTCCTTTTCATGGTCACAAGGTAGTTTTTTGGTCACCATTATCTTGCATTTCTCTCTTTGTTCTTCATCCCGTGCATCGGAACATGTCGTGAGTTTATTGTGTCCACAAGAGATTGAAATTTCGATCTCTATTTCATCTCGCTTTCCTGGTCACAAGGTAGTTTTTTGGCCACCAATATCGTGCATTGCTCGCTTTGTTCTTCAGCCCGTGCATCGGACCATGTCGCGAGTTTATTGTGTCCACAAGAGATTGAAATGTCGATCTCCTTCTGACAGCGATACTCGTCGGTTTTTTTCTGGCAAGGAAGGGTCGCTTCGTGGTTGCAAGCTAACATCCGTGATACCCTAACTTTACAACGCACATTTCCCAATCCTGTAGTCACAGTGTGGCATGGAAGAGTCTTGGTGTGTCCACATGAAAGCTCTAAGTCAACTTTCTTTCGGCAGATACACTCTTCAGGGTTTTTGAAGCATGGAAGAGTGATTTTGTGTTTGCAACCCAATTCCTTTTCAATTTTTTTCTTGCAAGAGACATTTTCCAACCCAGCCTTTACGACACAGCATTCCACAAGCGTCTTATGTCCACATGACAACTGTGCCTCTACTTCTTTCTTGCAAATGTACTCTTCGCTGTTCTTGTGACAAGCTAAAGCCACTTCATGATTGCACGATAGAGTTCTTATTACAGGTACCTTGCAAGGACGAGTTTCGCAGCTCTTACTACATATTTCTTCACAGCGGTGTCCACACAATCTCTCTCTCTCACATCGCCTTTCACATTTCAGAGTAGCTGGATCAACATGGCAGGGCATTTTATTGCTGTGTCCACATGTGGGAATCGATCTGTTTACCACTTCTGGGCAATGACACGGTAAAGGAAAATGACAGGGCTTTTGACATGAATGACCTCGCCTACACTTCCTTTGACACAATTCTGTACATTGAACCTCGTAGCATGGAACGCCACAAATAGATGAACACTTGTGTCCGCAGTCTCGTAGCCGTGTACAAGGAGCGTAACAAAAGACAGTTTTTGGGTCTTGAAAGCAGGGAACACGCTCTTCGTGGCCACATGGAAGGTCTTTGGAAACACGTACAAAACATTTTTTCAATCTACAATCTTCATGGCAGATTCCAGAACAACCATGCCCACATTCTAATGTTCGACTGCATTTTTCCTTGCACGTTATTTTACAGTCTTTCTCTCGACACAGGACCCTTGTCCTGTGCTTGCAAGGCAATTTCCTTTCAATTTCAGTGTTGCATTGACAAGTTTCGTTGCATTTCTTTGAACAAGGATGACCACATTCCAGACGTTTAGTACAGCTGCTGTTGCATTGATAAACACTGGGATCTCTGTGACAGGACATACGTTTTTCATGTTTACATGGGAGAGTTTTCTTGCAGAGAGCTTTACATTCCTCGGTACATGGAGAACCACATAGATTCTGACATTCGTGTCCACATTTAAGTATCGTCTCGCATTTAGATTGACACAGGACTTTATCGGGATTGCTACCACATTCAACAGGCTGTTTGTGACCACATGTGAGGGTCCTTAACACAGGAACTTTGCATTTGGGACACTTTTTGGGGTAATGACATTGTTTCGGGCATCTGTGATTACTGGGGCACGAGTTGACGCACATTTTACAACAGGATCCCGCTATGTGATATTCGTCTGAAGCATGGCACAGCCTGTCACACGCATGACGGCAATCCAGGCGTTCTCCACAGGGCAAGGTGCATCCTCCAAGACGACAGAGCTGAAGGTCACGTGCCCACTTGACGCCTGATATATTCCTGTGTCTTTTGCAAATCAGCTGTAAATTGTCACCAATAGCTTGCTTTGTCGTTAGATCATCACATATATCTTTCCACAACTTTGACTGGCTTTTCAGTTGACTAAAGTTCCCAATACAGTAAAATCCTTTGCGGGCTCGAGATAATGCGACGCATATTCTGTTGGACTCGCCAAGGAAACCAATTCGACCTTCTGCGTTACTTCTCACTAGAGACAGAAGAATAATGTCGTTTTCTTCACCTTGAAAGTTGTCAACTGCGCAAACTTTCACTCCAACAAATTTCTGTTTTGGCATTTTCTCTTGAAGAAGTAGCAACTGCCCAGTGTACATGGTTAATATAGTGATCTGCTCTCGTTCGTATCCTTGTAGTAAGAGGTAGTTACAAAGGGCTACAACGAAATCGGCTTCGTGTTGGTTGGAATAACTCTGCAGGAAATCTATCCGCGTCTCGGGTTGGCTGTGATCAATAAAGAAGAGATTGTGGCGGACCCCAGAGATGTTTGGAAAATGGCAGACTGATTCGTGGTCTGTGATGTCATGATCATAGATTCGTTTTGTCAGTGCAGCAATCTCAGGACGCATGCGGTGCTGTATAGATAGGTGTTTACAATCCATGTTGTTCATCACCATTCGTTCAAACAGTGAGACCTCCAGGTTGTACTTTTGGGCTAGCTCATAGACTGTTGCTTTTGGTCGGAGCTGTTTGTGGTCTCCGATGAGAATGGTGTGCTTCGTGTGTTTAGAAAAGGATGTGATAATGTGAGCTTCCATAACTTCGGCAGCCTCTTCAATCACTACTATCTTTGGTGCTATTCTCCGAAGCACGGAGTGATATCTCGCCGCCCCACTAGTTGTCATTCCAACTACAGTCGCCTGGCGTATGACCTGTTCCTCTTCTTCAAACCTAATTGTCTCTAACTCTTCACAAAGCTGTTCGTACTCCAATTCACTTCGGTGAATTTCTGCTCTGTAGCGGTCGCGGTAGTTCTCAACCCAAAAGAGGTACATTCTAAGTCGATCTGATTGTGATAAACTCCAAATGCTATCAACGCTCATTGCTTCCTCAAACGACATCATTTTAGTCATTTTTAGCTTCTCTGTTAAAGACGAAATTTCCTCATTGATGTAAATTTTTTCGTTGTTTCTATTCTTTTTGTTTTTCCTGTTCTTAGTTTTGTCCGTTTCGGACACATTGCTAGCTCCTGTCTGCTGCTCCACTTTACGTTTTTGTGTTTTCATCCAAGGAAAAGATTTTCCTCTCTTTCTAGTTACCTCTGTCCACCCTTTGTCATCTTTTTCGTCTGGCTTTCTTTCCTGTGTGAATACATCACTTTTTGGCTTTAATATTGGCAACTGGAGTTCTTCGTCACCTTGTATCCATCTTTGATGTTGTATTAAATCAGCCTCCATTTCTATTCTTATGGTCTCTTCATAAGTGTCGTTTACTTCGTCATTTTTTGCCTGTGCTGTTGGAAGATTTTCAGTTTCATCGACTTCGGTGTCTCTAGAAGCATTTGAGGGTGGCTGTAATTTCATGGTTAACGTGTTGCTTTGCTCAACTGATAAACGTCTTTGCAGCATACAATGATGAGAGGTTTCTTTCAGCTCTTCCGGCTCTAAGACGACTTCTTTCGTGCTTAGGCTCCTTTCATGTGAAAGATCAAAACCTTTGGTAGAATCTTCTGTTACACATGTTGATTCCGTGTTTTCATAGCCATCCTGTGGTGTGTGTATTAATGATGAGTCATAAAATATTTTATCGTCTTCATCATTATGTTCATGGTGCGCTTGTTCACTTGAAGTTCTGTTACAAGAACCAACCATTTTGTTGTCACATAACCACAATCTGAAGGTGTTTCCTGGAGTTCGAGACTCAATTGCTACGTTAGCAGGAAATACGGTATTGTAAAGCTGATGCGCATGTGCTGGATACAACAGCTCCTCCAAGTCATCGAATTCCAATAATTCTCGGTCTGCATTTGCAAGCTTTTCCTTCCACATTTGCATTACTTCTCCATTTTCACTCATCTTGTCTCTTACCTCATCGCGTTTGTCAAACAGCCTGTGTTGGTAGGTAAAATTTTTCAGATTGCAATCCTCTAGATCCTTGCTTTTGCATCTTCCTCCAACACGAATGATTTTATCTTTAGGTAAGAATTCTAGCACCTTTTCCAAAAACTGATCGAGGGCATGATTTGTGTAACAGACCATAAGCATTGGTGCGATAAAGTAGGGATCCCACACCCGTCGATTCTCAAGCAAACATCTGACGATTCTGGCCCCAACGTATGTTTTTCCCGTTCCTGGTGGTCCCTGAATTACAGAAAATTCAGTTGTGATTGCTGTTCTCAGTGCTTCGAGCTGGGAGCTGTTCAAAGATAGTTTCCTGACGGGAGGCCAGGCTTCACATTGTAAAACAGGTACTGCTGTGGCATGTGATAAACCAGGGACACCAAGAGCCTTGCTAAGATTGAAACATACCGGGCCCTTAGTCTCATCACATCTTAGATACTCTGGTGGATCAACTTCTGCACTGCACTCGACCAGATACTTTTTAAATGGCAAAGAGTTTTCATCTAATTCCTTTAAACCTTTTAGGACATGACGATAGGCTTCGAAGTACGCAGGGGACTCAACCATCTGGTAAATACAGTTGCGGCTCTCGATACCCCAAACATCTTGTTCCTCGATAAATCGAATATCGACGCGTCCTTTTCTCAATTTTTTTTCATCACGGTTAGAAACTGTTGCAAAAAGCATCGTTTTGAAGTTGTCTTTTGAAAGACAAAGAAATGAACCAAACAAGAGTCTTTTGGATTTTGCCCACCTGCTGGTATCTAATCCTCGAACATCGATCGCTACTTGATGAATGATCCCACCCCACGTGAATTCTTTGCCAATGATTTGTACGCTGCGGTAATTTTTCATCAACTGCTTGCGTTGGTGTCTTGGCACATTTCGGATAATTTCTTGAATACCTTCCCTTAGTGGCTCAAGAAAGTCTTCTCGAAGCAGCCGATACTGAACATCAAGGTAATGCTCAGCGTTGTCGTACCTTCCTTTGGAAATATTCTCGCGTAAGAATGGCCTTTCTTGAATTGTGATTTCTTTGTTAGTGGGAAAAATGGGTATATCTCTGAAATCGTTTGGCGGATTTTCTCCAAGTCTGTTGATGTAACGTTTTCCATGCCTCTTCCTTTCGCCTCTAATAATGTCATCTCTTGCTTGTTTAAAAGCATCCAACCCTTTCTGTAGCTTGTGTTTTCCATCAGTGGTTACCTGATCTAAGGCCGCTTTTAACTGAGCGTACGGCAGGTCAGTGTATGAACTAGGCAAGTGGTTAAGGTATTTCATAAAGATTACGATGAGACACTGGATAAAGCTATGTAAACAGTTTTGACCGTTCAAGAAAGGTGATACTTCAACAAAATTAAGAAGACTGGGGATCTTTGAGGTCAAAAATACAGAACCTTTTAGTGAGGCTAAAATCTTATTCGTATTCTCGCCTGATGGCGCTTCGCAGGCTCTTGCTAAAGTGTATGTAAGGTCGTAGATGAATTCATCGCTGTTGTGCTGCTGTTCTTGGGATCGAAGAAGGAATTTCAGTTGAAGCAGTCCCTCATTCAGTACGTGGACTACCTGGCTGCTTTCTTTCTCTTTCAAAATTTTGGGGTCGAAGGAGGCAATTTTCACCCGTAACGCCGCTTCCTGAGCAGGAAGAGGACGTGTATTTTTCTGTGACGATAAACCGGGTTTCAGTTTTATTAGACCAGGCCTTCCCCGTCGTTGGTTTTGGTTTGTCCCACCTGTGTAATAAAAAAACGTATCCATACGTGACTTCCCCCTGTTGTCATATTGGTAAGAGATTTTCTTGCAGTTCATTCAAATAATGTAGAGTAATAACAAGGTAAGAGCTGGTATTGACATGATAGCAACAAAGTATTATGCGGCATATATAATTGAAAATGTTTCAACTCCGGTAACAAACGGCCCTTGGGAAAATTAATAGGCCATTTGCAGTAAGAGGTCATGTGACATCGTTTTTATGAAAATGAAAGTTATATGATTTTTCCTTCGAAAAACCATTAGTGGGTCATATCTTAAACAAAATAATAGTCATTTGGTTTTTCAAACCCGCACCATTTACTTAAAATGAATAAGTTCGTAAATGGTCACGTGACCAAAGTGTGATTTTTAAAATTATGAATTACCTCTCTCTGAACACCAATTTTGCACTTAATCTTTGAGGAAAATGTTGAAAAGATGATGTGATAACGTTTACAGCACATCTGAGCGTAACTATGAAACGTTGATCAAGATATAAGCAAGAAGTAGTTTTTGCCGCCATGTTGGAGGGCAAAAGCATGCCCTCCAACATGGCGGCCAATACAAATCATACTACTTTGCTGAAAAATCAAAGTGCCATAAAATATCTCCCTTAAATGCGTTTCCTCTCAAACCTCGGGTTTGAGATAATTTTTGTGTCCTCTAACAATTTTTGGCATCAGCAAGATTCCAACTCATTGTTTAAAGGAAGCATTGGTCACGTGACCTCTTAGTGCAAGTGGCCTATTGGTCTTTCCCGGTCTATTTCCCTCTCAAATGGTCCAAGAGGTTCCTGGATGGAATATATTAACGGAGTTTTAGTAAACGTTTGTGCAATAGCTAGTTAACCTTTAAGCTCTACCGTAGTAGTATTACATATTTTTCAGCTCCCCTTGACCATACTCTATGTCAACTAGTTGTCCAAATGCTTGGAGGGTAGAGTAGGTTACCCACACAGCACTTACTTGATGTTTCCCTTACCGAAAGGCTTCCCTCTGCCCTTTGACGGCGTTGCTTGATCCTTCTCGCGGTCAACTGATGCTCCTCGTCCGCGCCCTTTGTTATCTTGCTTCCTTTGTTCCGTGGAAGGGTCATCTTAAGGAAAAGGTGGAATGATTGAAAATACAAAAGAGGTTACTCAAGGGTGTTTATAGCCTGGGTCAAAGTGTGTTCGGAGCATATGAATTGGCAATATCTCTCGCTAGGAATTTTTCCGCCAAAAGTAAATCTTTTCGGTTTTCGTGTCCCTTAACGTTTAATTATGGTCACGTGACTAAAAATTAAAAATGCAGGAAATTGGCGAATTGGTGGCTAGTTTAATTTGTTTGGATAAAAATAAAATAAGCATTTCTGAAAGAGGATAAACATACCTTACTTTCTACGTTTGGAATGAATGTACGCGAAGTTTAAAATTAAAGTTTTAAATAATTCAAGATTAAATTTGGGCATTTAAAATGATGTTTTTCCTCATAATTTTTCTTAAAGTGCAATGCATGGTCATTCCAAACGTGAAGTGTTAGAAATATTTAATATGAATCAGAAAAATATAATTGCTCGAATTCTTTTCTTAAGCCGGCCAGCAATTGGTCAATTTTTTACGATTTTTAGCCAAAAGGTCACGTGACATATCACGTGACTGATTAACACAATACTTATACTTTAAAATGTTAAGAACGATGAGTTCTTTATGAGTGCCAAATTTTGATTCAGCGTCATCATCTATGCCGAAGTTATAGCTAATAAATTATTTTCCACAGGTAAACCCCTTAGCCCTAGGCCTTCAACTACTTGAGACAAATGCTGTGGGTAAAAGAACAAAGAAATTCTTTGATCGAGTTTGTTACTCTTAAGTTTGAATTTTTTCTGCTGCTTTGTTGGTTACTCTGGTTAAGTAAGAAGTTTTCCTGAAGGATTCAGTGTATTGGAAGTTCCTACATTTTAGGTTGGACAGTAATGTTAGACGTTTAAAAAATTAGTTACTTTATACGACACTCTCTTTGGTTTGTTAATTCGACGTGGAAGTAACTTAATGGGGTGTAATGTTAGTCGAGCGTCTAACGTGAACACTACACGTGAAGACACAAGGCTTTCGCTCGCCTGAAGGTGAAATAATTTGAAGTGAAGTAATATTTGTACTCACTTTCATTTGGCTTTGGACGAGCGCTATTTCAAGCCTTGTTATGACAGTGTTATCAAAGTGTGGTAACTATTGCGGAGAGCTTTTTGTTGTTTAACCTTCCCGCATCAGAACGTATGTCCGTTTCGATAATCTAAGGCTGACTATAAATAACTTGAACATAAGCAGTTTTCATTACCTCTTGTTTGTTTTCCAAATCGTTTGTTATCAGCGGTAGCTCCACTCTCTGCAAATGATCTGCTTGCCGTTCCATCCAGTTGCTCTTCAGCGGCTGTTTAGATTAAGGTGTTAAAAATAAATCATTATATGTGAGACTATTTCAAACGATTCTAGCCATCATACTTAAAAGGCACTGAAGCAAAGGTAACTTTAGAAATAGGAAAGAAGTAACCAATGGCCGTCAACTCCAGTCAGTTCCTTTAACTTACAGCATCACCCCATTCTCTTCGTAGGGGGGCGGGTAAATCGCTGTAATAAATCGTAGGAGAACCCTTGTGTCATTTCGCAGGTGAAGGTTGCTGTCTAATGAACCAGTCTGGAGGTGGGTGGTGCTTTCCTATAACATGATACTGTTCATTATACTGTGCAAGATAGATCTAACCTTAACGTCTGTGAAGCTGCACTTTTTTTGTAACTTAAACCATTTGAGTGATATTACTGTTCAGCGGTGTGTTTGATTGTCGACTTTTTCCTGCGAGAATAAGGCTGGCCTTCTCCATGACATTAATAGTGTAGACAGTAGAAACCATACTCACCAGGACTAGTTTCTCTTTTTCCGTGGTTTCTTCCTTTTTTACCTCCACCCTTTCTCGCCGGGCGGCCTCGTTTGTCCTCTTTCCTGTGTCGGTCATCTTAAGAAACAAAGCAAAACTATTGTGCTCGTCACTTTATTGCTCGTTACGTTACTCCGCAAACGCAGAATTTCGATTTAGTTATTTGCTTATAGTGAGGGATCACATCGTGAAGTGCCTTCTTTGGAATGAGTCACATATTTAATTGCATACTTTAACAGTTTTCTGGGAAACCATATAAGATTAAACAAAATCGGTGTAAGGTGTTCACGTTTCCTGGAGTGGGTTATACGACGAGTAGCCGCATTCTCCGCATGTTGTACCCAGGTCATTAGATAGCTAGGAAAACCATACAGTGACTGAGGAATGCAATAGTCTAGTATAGATGACTTTACGAGACATAAACAAGTTTTTCAGCAGTGGCAGGTGACAGGTATTTCTTGATAAAGTGATTTTGTCCAGATGGTAGAAAGAGGATTCGCAGACATATATTGTATGATCAATAAAAGAGGGATAATTGTCAAGGATGACTCCGATAGTTTTAGCTTTTCGTTTTAAGCGGAAGATCATGATTTCAATGAAGAGGCTGACAAGGCGAATGTTTGGCTGATAAAATATGCAATTCAGTTTTATCTTGTCCACATCTCGTAAAAAACATAAGAGCTAGTAACCAACCACACAGAATATAAAGAATACACTTACTACCGTTTGGATCACTGGCGTAGCCAAACAAAGGCACTGGTCAGAAGATTTCTATAGTTGCTAGCCAGCCCAGGCCCGCGTGGTAGGGTAAATTTTCGCCCCTTTTTTGGTCAGGTGACCAAGCCGTTAGTTTAAGTTGCATGATCGTTAGTTTGGCGGACATTCGCTTGTTTGGCGATGGATTTTGGTTCTTCAAGATGGTATCTATAATAGGCTCACAAGGTATTAGTCTTTCCTTTCGTTCTTATTTGATTTGGTTTATTCAAGAGAGGATTATTATTTCGCCCTTAGTATTTTCTAGTTATGTTGCCTAGTACATTTCTCGTCGCGTGTAATTAAGATTTTTCAATTGTATTTCCTTTCTAGTTTTACGTCAACTTTATCTACTTTAATTTGTCAGCAAAACAACAGCCGTTTTCAGTCAGTGTTAGAATTCACCGCGTTTGTGTTGTTGTCTCGATGTGGTTATAATTTGCAAAATTCCCGGAAATTGCTGTTACCTCGTTTTTCGTCTGCAGTGGTCCCGCAGGCAGCCTGACTTGGTGATAGGTTTTCTGTCAGCTCTTTTCTATCTTGGGTTTGTCCCAATGGTTGTTCGGAGTCTATGACCGGTTAAAACATATGTGATGTCATTTTGAGTTTGGAGCATTAAAAATAGTATTGGAATGCTCTCAAGTAAAGATCTACACCTGAACTTTCTTAAACTACCGAACGACCTGCTTTTTTATATTCTATCAGGAACCTTCTATCCATTAAAGTTCGTTCTAAAATCGTCACACAAACGCCTTTGATAGTCATTATATCTAAGTTTTAAGATGGTTCGGCTTACCTTTAAAGACGCTGGTATCCCTGTTACGTTTATCAAAGCCGCTTTTCCACTTCTTCTTAACAGAAGGCATGGTGCTAAGTGGAAAACAAGATAGAGAGAGCAACAAAAAAACTTCTTTCAGCTATCGTTGTCGTCGATTAGTGATCTATTAGTCCTATTCAGGAATTAACTAGAAACACATGTCTCGCAATATAGAGCTTGAATGCCTCAAATCTTGAACATTGAGATTTGATAAACGTACCACTTGGCTTTGAGGGTCTACATCGCCAATAACATGAGCTTTAATTGAAAGATGAGCAGTAACATTGACCAATTGGGCCTTGGTTGAGGGTCTCAATGGGGTGATGGCTTTTACGGTTATCGGCTAAAATTTTGGCTTTTTTACGGCTATCGGTTAATTTTTTTCAGTTACGGTTAACGAAAATGTTAAAAATTATAACTTCTTTTGTTTCAAAAAGTTAAATATTAATTAGCCTGTATTTTTTGGAATAAAGGTCTTTGGATCATCTCGGGATGAAATAAGCTATTCTTTAGAAAAATTTTAACATTTGATAGATCATACTTTTTATAAAATATTCCACTTCTAGTATTATTTTACGCATAGAAATGTCAATAGTCAATTAAAAATAATCTTTGTGAAAAAGCAAAAGCAGACACGCGAACGCAAAATCTAGGCCGGGGTGGGACATTCATAATAACAGAAGTGGCCGTTTTCACACTAGAGAAAGATTATTCGTGTGAGACGGGTTATCCGTTTGATGATTCGCGTCAGATAGGTAATACGTCTTAATTTCAAAAATGGAATAGTTTAATTTCGAATGAACAATCCGCCTGACTTTTGAAAACCGGATCATCCGTTCCAGATAGCCTGTGTACAGCCGCCCCCTCCCCTCAGAAAAAATCGGAGAAGGGGTGTCTGTGAGGAGGACACGACTGTACACAGGCTAGTCTCAGACGGATGATCCATTTCTAGCTCTAGTGTGAAAACGGCCAATGACAAAATTCCCGTCTCCAGTGTTGTTAATGATAGCGAAGGTCTGTATGGAACGACTGTCTGCCGTTGCCTTCTCCGTAGGCCGCATTATTCCGCGCGGCTAATGCGTTTCGGGTCATGTTGTCCGAGCGAGTTCGCCACCGAAATGCCTTGACCGAGATTACGTGAGAAGACGCCGTACAGGGACTAGGCATGGCAATGTTTACCGTAGCGTCAGAGACCTCCGCAAAATTGCAAATATTAATCCCCAGCAATAAGCCACACTTTCGCTGGGAAAAAATTAGTTCCCCGAGAGAGCGCCGGAAACGGAGCCTAGGTCTTAGTTAACTCCTAAAAGGCGCTTTGCCTAACGTGCGTACGGAGTCACACTAGCCGGAAAATAAAAAACGCAACCATATAAGTGAGTTTAGTACCTTCCTTAAAAGTAGCAAATCTAGGGAACACTTTCTTTTACGGTTAACTCTTTTTTACCGTATTTACGGCTAACGTTTAAAATTTTTCAATTTTTACGGCTATCGGCTAAATTTTTGACCATTTTACGCCTATCGGTTAACTTCACGCTAAGTGAGATGCCGTAGTTCAGTTTTGTATAGTTGAGACGCCTCAAGACTTGTCGATGATCTGAAGCGTAACAAGGAAATTT